AGAGGGATTTCCTACAGGTTTTTGCTCACCCCCTACAACACACTTACAAATTTTGGCATAGAAGAGGATGTCATTGTGGATGAGCAGATTGATTACGAGCCGTTAGAGGATCGAGATGTGAATCCTATCTTAGAGGAATATAATTGTTTTATTTTTGGTTTAAAGTTGGAGAAATTTTTATGAAATAATGTTTTAGGTAGTTTTTATTATTCCGCAGTTAGATATTCTTGGTTTTGAATTGTAAGTTGTAGAAGTTTCAATGTTTTATTGGTTTTAATATTTATTCCTTGTCAAATGGATAAACGGTTTATTACTTATTGGTTATTTTTAGTTGCTGTCATGGTTGAATTGTTTATAGATAGTAATGCCTTCCAGTGTGGATTTTGGGGGGTTACAACTATTACCACTGTTAATGGTGTATCATCTCTGGTTATTGGAGTTGGTACAATTCCGTCATCTTCCACGTTAGAAATCGAGGATGTCTTATTTGTGCTATCGTTAAATTATAATATTCTCTCTGTGAATCAATTAGCTAAATCTCATTATTGTGTTGCTCTATTTTTTCCTACTCACTGTGTTTTTTAGAACATCCATACTTGGGAGAAGATTGGTAGTGGTAGACAAATGGGAGGGTTGTACTATCTTGAAGATGGATTTCAATATTCCGATAAAAAGGGGCAAGCTCTTGTGGTAAATGGAGATTCGGTGAATAAGAAAAAAGAGGAAATTTGGCTATGGCATAGGAGATTGGGACATCCTTCCTTTGGCTATATTAGGAGATTATTTCCATCTTTATTTCATGGATGTAATCTTTTAGACTTTGTTTGCGAAACTTGTGTGAAGGCAATAAGCCATCGTACTACTTTTCATTTGACTGATCATAAAACAGATTTACGTTTTTTATTAGTTCATTCAGATGTTTGGGGATCGGCCCCAATTTCTACTCTTAATGGGATAAAGTGGATTATAACTTTTGTTGATGATTGCACTCGCATGACTTGAGTTTATCAAATGAAACACAAGAGTGATATTTATTCACTTTTTCACATGTTCCATCAAATGATAACTACTCAGTTTGGTGTTCTAATAAAAGTCTTTTGTTCTGATTATGGTGGTGAGTACAAAAAGAAAGAATTGATGGAATTTATGCACTCTAAAGGGATTATTCACCAAACATCTTGCACAAATTTTCCTCAACAAAATGGTGTCGTAGAGCGAAAAAACTGACATTTATTGGAAGTTACTCGGTCTCTTGTAATTGGGGGTCATGTTCCTATTTACTTATGGGGTGAAACTTTGAATTCGGTGGTCTATTTAATAAACCGTACGCCATCCAATATTCTTAATTTTCAAAGACAATTGGATGCCCTTTCTAATCATTGCATTCTTCCACTGGTAGTACTTTTGGCTGTATGAATTTTTGGGTGTGTAATTTTTATTCATTTGCATCCGCGCCAACGAACTAAGTTTGAGTATTGTGCTTTGAATTGTGTTTTTGTGGGATATGGGAACAATAAAAAAAGGCTACAAATGTAATGATCTAAAAATTCTGAGGCTTTATGTTTTAATGGATATTACCTTCCATGAGACCGAACTTTTTTACAGGGCGCCAATTCCTAATTTACCATTTCAGGGGGAGAATTCAGAATAAGTGATAAATTATGAAGAACTGGAGGCATTTTTTTTGTCAAAAATTTGAAAAATATTTCTTCGTCTGGAGAATCTTCAAGATAAGGTGAATTTTTTGATGGAAGGGAAGAGTTATTGGTTGTTAAACCAGAGACTTCTCATACTAAAGAAAATGTTCTTCATGATAGTACAATGCCTCCCAACAATTCAACACAACCACTGAGCTACTCTTCTTCTGAGATTCCTCCAGATGTATCCACTAATCCTAATTTCACTTGTGATGATCTTTTTTTTGAATTTCAAGTGTCTCAATATCGTCTTCCACCTCATTCTAATTGTGGTGGACCACTTGTTAAATATGAGCCTAATCCTAAATTCAAAGTTAGATATTTCATTAGTAATCATGTGTCTTGTCAAAAAATGTCCAACTCATATGCGTCTTATGTGCTACAAGTATCATCTGTTCTTATTCCTAGTAAAATGCAGGAAGCTCTAGTAGATGATAGATGGACTCAAGACATGATAGTAGAAATGGCAGCGCTTGAGAAAAATGATATTTGGGAGCTTGTGACTCTACCGAAAGGAAAAAAAACTGTGGGATGTAGATGGGTCTTTGCAGTCAAGCATAAAGCAGATGAGACGATTGAGAGGTATAAAGCTCGATTGGTTACGAAAGGATATACACAATCTTATGGGGTTTACTACTAGGACACTTTTGCACCTGTTGCCAAACTTAATACAGTTAGACTGCTCCTGCCTTTTGGCGGTGAACTGAGATTGGCCACTTCTTCAGTTTGATGAAAAAAATACTTTCTTACATGGAGATTTACAGAGGAAGTGTATATGGATCCCCCTTCAGGTGGAAAAATACTCAAATGCGTTGTATGGGTTAAAACAATCTCTAAGAGCTTGGTTCGGTAGATTTACCAAGTCTATGAAGAGCTTTGGATATAAACAAAGCATCTCAGACCATACTTTGTTTTTAAAGCATCAAATGGGTAAGGTTACTACTTTAATTATATACGTTGATGACATAGTGGTGACCGGAGATGAACAAGAAGAAATTGAGAGCTTACAATGACACTTGGCCTTAAAGTTTGAAATGAAACAACTTGGAGATTTAAAATACTTTCTCAGAATCGAGGTAACCCGCTCAAAGTATGGTATATTCTTATCTCAACAAAATACATTCTTGATTTGTTAACTGAAACAGGTATGCTTGGAAGTAAGCCTGCGAATACCCTTAATTGAACAAAATCACAAGTTGTTTAATTGATTGCATGCAACTTCTACTAATAAAGCAAGGTACCAGAGACTTGTGGGAAAATTAATTTATTTGTCCCATACTAGGCCAGATATTGCTTATTCAGTATACGTAGTGAGCTAGTTTATGCATGCTCCTTGTAAACCTTACATGGATGTTGTGGAATGCATATTGCGATATTTAAAGTCTACTTCAGGTAAAGGGTTGTCGTTCAGCAAGAATAATCACTTGAAGGTAGAAGGTTACACTGATGCAGATTGGGCTGGTTTATCTGATGACAGAAAATCTACATCAGGATACTTTACTTTTGTAGGGGGCAACCTAGTGACTTGGAGGAGTAAAAAACAACCGGTGGTAGCAAGGCCTAGTGCAAAAGCTGAATATAGAGGCATGGCTTTTGGAGTATGTGAGTTACAATGGTTGAGGAACTTGGTTAAGGATTTGGTGTTCACTCTCAGGAGGCAATGAAGTTGTATTGTGATAACACTTCTGCTATAGAGATTGCTCATAATCCAGTCCAACACGATCGGACGAAGCATGCGAAAATTGATAGATACTTCATTAAGGAAAAACTCGAAGTCGGAATCGTTGTTTCTATGTTTGTGAAGTCTGAAGACCAACTAGCCGATGTCCTTACGAAAGCTATCGCCAACAGTGTTTTCGGTCATTCTTTAGACAATTTAGGCATGTGCGATATACAAGCTCCAACTTGAGGGGGAGTGCTAAAATTAAGGATATGATTTGGTCAATATTTGATTTGGTTAATATCCTTAATTATATAATCTTATTTTATTTCCGTAGTTGTGAGATATTTCTCTGTAATCTTTATTCTTTCCTTATTAATGTTTGTACTATATATATTAGTGAAAATTGGAAGTGAGTCTCCCTAGATGTACTTGTTTGGAAATAAATCCTACAAAGAAACTTATAAGGGGTTAAGTCCATGTTTAAAATTATATATAATGACTTAAGTCCATTTTTTTTATCTCAAAAATACCCTTCCTTAAAAGAAAGTTAAATTAATTTCCTATTTTAGAAATTGTTATCCCTTAATTCAATGTCAATTAAAATATACCAATAAAATTTTCATCATAAATTTAATATTCAATGTCACTATTTTTTTTTGTTTTTGAATATTACTATTTTTTGTGTTTGAATGGTACTATTTTTTGCGTTTGAATTTGAGAGAAATAATTATTGTTAAACATGTTAGAGTTTTTGTTAAGTATGTTACTATTTTTGTTGAACATGTTAATATTTTTGTTGAGCATTTTACTATTATTATTTTTTTAAAATATTAATATTGAATGTTTCAATTTTTTTTATGTTTAAATGTTATTATTTTTTTGTGTTTAAATGTATTATATTTTGTGTCCAAATAATAACTTTTTTTTGTATTTGAATATTACTATTTTTTATTTTTAGTGTTACTATATATATATATACTAGGAATAACTCATACCTGAAGACATGGTGCAATTAAAAAAAATTGAACATTAAATTTGGGCACGAAACAATCAAGCACTAAACTCAAATACGTACTACACTGAAAGTTTAAACTCGTCCTATACCACGTGTCTAAAGGCACTAAACATCATTATGCACATGGCTGCTGAGTAATTTGTTTTGCATTTTGACCATTAAACACTGAACTATAAATGGTTTCCATGATTTATTTTTTGTGGGGGAGGAGGTAAATTTTCGATAAAGGATAACTCTGAAACTAAAAGCAGTGCTACATGTCAGTTCATTGATGTCATTCTGAGAAAAGATTCACCATGCTTTTGGTATTACTACCATTGCATTTCATGTACTTTCACCTTGGTATCAGTACGGTATATGTATTGGTTGTCATGACATTTAAATTAAATTCAAAGTTATTTTCTCCAATCAAGACTACAAAGTTCTTTCTGCTTGTTCAAACTGGCAACATTTCTTTATCTTGCTATTCAACAAACTCAATACAAAAAGGAGCTGTTAATTGCTTTTTTTCGTTTTCCATGTTTTTGCACATGTAGACGACACTACACTATATCAAGAGAAATCGTTAAATCTATGCAAATCCAAATTTGTTTGCAGAAATCAAATATTATACCAACTTATAAAAATGAGTACGGAACTTACCTTTGCCAAATTTGCTTATAATAGAAGCCGATAGAACAACCTGCAATATACATATGGAAACAGGGTGAAAAGAAAAAAAAGATAATATCCAAACTTAAATAGCAACCATAAAAAATGACCATAGATCAAAGCTGTTGTTGGAATTCATAATTTTGCAGCAAAAAATAAAATAACTTCGTGAACACAATTACCATTTTGAACTTCGTGAACTCAATGCAACAGCCACAGATTCAAAAGCTAAGTAACAACTGGTCGTATGGCACACCTAAGTTCAAATCTTTTTAACTGGGTTCACAGATAAGTTCCTAATTATCAAAGCAGTACCTGAACCAAACACAGGTTATCTGAAGACTCAGGAGGTTACATCCATGGCATTGATGCATCATTTATTCTCTAAAAAGGAAAACATATTTACCATTTCAACTTCCTGAACCATGTTGCTGCATATAGATCAAATTTCATAACTCGAGAGAGTCATCAACATTAGAAATTAAGGAAAAGAATAATAATACAGATGAACTTTAAACTATTTACTTTTATCAAATAACTAAGCAAAAGAACAAACGACATACTTTAATGAACATTCTTAAAGCCAGCTCTTGTGGTTGGAAATTAATTAGCTTCTATTCTTTTGAAGGATTAAAGCCAGCTCTTGTGGTGGTGCACATTTCAGGGACTCCATGCTGTGCAGTACTGCTGCATTGCTATGCTACATTCACAGTAGCTGTAGTATTTTTCCAAGATGATAGGAGGAGATCCAAAGGTCCAGGCACTGAGATATGGCAAGGGGACAGAAGCTGTGCTCTGAGGACCAGAACATAGATGTACAGAAACTTACTGTTTTGCCATTGTAACAGATTTTCCTGTTTTGTTGGAAAATCAGTTATTGTTTTTTTTTTTATTTTATCAAAATTAGTGATTTGGTGTGATTTCTCATCGCCAAAGGAAATACATTCATGACATCTCTACTTGAAAATATATCCTAACCAACCAAGAAAAAAATACACTTAGAATTATAGTGTAAGTCAATTAGAATAACCAAAAATATGAAGACTAACAGAACTATGGGAAGCAAAAAATAGAATACTAACCAATAGAAAAATCATTCAGTGAGATGTAACGAAATGATTAATCAGTCATCTAAATCTATCAAATCTATTAACACAGTGCTTGGCTTTTACTAGAAGGCATTCAATACATACATGCAACAAAATGAACAATCAGTCATCTAAATCTATCAAATTAATTAATGAAGTTCTTGGCTTTTACCTGAAAAGGGAAAAAAATTCATCAAAGTAATCTATGTTCAAAGAAGCACTAAACTCTTCCTCACGTTGCTCTTCTTCTCTATCAACTTGTTTGCTGATCCATTACAATCAATGGTCAATTGCATAGAAATTAAAATAATTCTCGTTTCCAATTTGTACCCGCTAAAAAAACTTCAATGCAACAATAGTTAATAGTTAGATTCAGAATGAGTTCCTGGCCTAATATTAGAGTTTCTAATAATGCAAAATTATGAATCAAGTGTATCAGAGCATCGTGAGTTGAAGGTATACCCAAGTGAGAACTGTATATACTTGGTTATTCTACAACACAATAATTATTGAGATTGATGGGACATTTTTAGACACTCCCAGATAATGACACAGGTACTCGGCGTTAATGGAGACTCGTTGTGATACCGACACGTCTTCGTCGGTTTCCAACCCCCCTGCCCCGAGGATGCTATTCACAAGGATCAAGGATCCCCAAACCACCATGGACCAACACATATTTCTCGGTAGTTTGGGTACATCGGTCCTAAATCATGCTAGTCTCTCGACACCGAGGGGTATCTATCCGCGTGGGATTTTTTGCTCCTACAGGGGTTATTGATGGATAGATCACTAGCCTAGGTAAGGCTAGACTAGCCATCATGACCTCGTCTTACTCAAATGGTGTCAGGAGGCACAAGAAAGCAGAAAGCTCAACCAAAAGGGAATGGGCACGTGGCGTATTGTGTCAGTTCAGAGACAAAAAGACCAGAATGCCCTTGCTGACACACAACTAGGAAAAGTAAGTATTTAATACACCCTTTCCCTTGATGAGACAGTATTTAATGCATGAGGGCTCGGAAGTGAAAGGTAATAAATATCCCAACGCCTGGGCATTTAATACACCCCCGCCAAGGGGAAATCATTAAACAATCGGTAGACCGAGGAGAGAGCATTAGTTGCTCGGGGTCCCGAGCAATTAAGAATAAGAACATTACTCATAGAAATTGGTGTGCACACTACCCACCTCTAATGATTACCTACTAGCTAACGCTATCAGCAATGATGAGTTTTTAAGGTATAAATAGTCCTCACAAACACAGAAAAGAGGTACGCAATAAACCCTCTCTCAACCATTATACAATGTCTTCTTCTTCCCCTCTCTCAAAGAACTGACTTGATCATCGAAAAAGTTACGCTGAAAAAGACTCCGACGCCCTTCTAACTTGTTTATTTTTTGTTCTAGGAACCTCCTTTAGCCTTCCAGGATCACTCAAGCGACTCATAAAAATGATTCATTATCCACCTTCGATCCTCACAACCTGTTCAAGTAGCAAGATCGACCACCCGATTAACGGACACGTGTTCACCATGGAAGAGATCTGTTCTAGTGTTTATATTGTGCAAGATCCTACACGCACAATCTGGCGCCGTCTGTGGGAAATGACTAGTTTTCCTAGTTTCTTTTGTAGAAAGAACAATGACCATGGTGAATACTCGACAGAAAGGGAAAGGTCCCCAACAAAGAAGTCTCGAGTTACAAGCTACTCGTCATTTTGGGAGGAGGGATCACGCTGATGACAACAAGAATGTTTCTATTCATTCAAGGGGGCATACTCCTCAAACCAGTATGGGCATTAGATCAAGAGGATCCGCCCCCTTGGCTCGTCAATTGGCGGAGGTGATTGAAGAAAAGTTTGGGGATAGACTACGATAGTTAGAAAAAGGTAATGTGAACGTCCTAAGCCGGCTCAACGAATTTGCCTCCTCTGACTAAGGATCGAGGGACTCATTTCGTTCCCACGGACGCTCCATCCGAGAGACAAAAATCAAGGACCTGAGGAATCACTTAAACAACAAAGTTGAGAGCTCTAGGGTCCTGAAGCGCCCGAGAATCAATGGCATTTGGCCTGGGATGACCTTTGACGAGGACTGTCAAGACGGGGGAAGGGAGATGAGTCCGAGGAGGATTCAACCCTTTCCGAACGACGCCTAGAGAAGGGGAGCCCCGTCAATGACCTTGGAAACTTCAGAAGACATCCCTTTGAGGTGGAGACTGATCTCAGAGCCCGACTGGAGTCCAGGAGAAGGGGGCAAGGCCGTCTAGGATGACGCCGAAGACGAGGCCATGTAATCACCTTGTACCTGGGATATCCGAGAGATGGAGGTACCAAAGAAGTTCATCGTGCTAAGGTTTAAAACTTATGATGGGTGATCCGATCCCGAAGCTCACCTCAAGTAATACAAGCAAATGATGTCCCTATATCATTCGAACCTACGGCTCCTCTACCGAGTGTTCTCCATGAGTTTAGGAGATTCTGCTATGAAGTGGTTCGAGACTCTTTCTCCTAGCGGCATTGGATCATGGAAGGAGATGACGAGACAGTTTTTAGCCTGATTCATTACGGGGAGTAAACGACCCAAAGATATTGGATCATTACTGACCCTCAGGCAGAGGGAAATGGAAACCCTTCGCCATTATGCCATCAGGTACTTGGAGGAGTTCAATGAGATAGAAGGGTGTTCGAAAGTCATGGCAGCTGCATCCTTTAGGCTCGGCCTAGCAAGGGACACAGACCTGTATCGATCCTTGACTAAGAAGACTCCCGTAGATATGGGCGAATTGATGACCCGGATAAACAAATACTCCAGGATTAAAGATGAAATGGGGGCAACAAAGGTAAAACTCTCCCACCTAGGAGAAAAGAGAAAGAAGAAGGGGACACCTCCCGATAGGGGTTGGTACCCCCTCTAGGGGGTCATTTAAAGGTGTTCACACTGTCTTTAAAGAACCCATCTACAAGTTACTCCATAAAATCAAGCATGAACCATTCTTCAAGTGGCCGCCTAGGATGCAAAATGATCCTTCCATCCGTGATCAAAAGGTCAAATGTTCCTAACACCGAGATTTGGGCCATCGCACAAAAATTGCAGGGTATACAAGTCTTTCTTGGAAAGGCTGGTCTAGGACAGTTACTTAAAAGAATACATCGAACCCAAGTTAGAAGAGAGACGCAGTCCAGCCCCGGCCGTGGAGCAAGACAATGTCATAGACGTGATCCATGTATGTCCACTGGATCGTCCGATATCCAAGGAGCTTGAGTCCGACCTCAAGAGGGTAGCCTTTACAAGAAAGGTTGTTGAGAGCGATGGGGGCCCCTCCAGCAAGAGGGCCAGGATCAAAGAACTGGGTATCACCTTCTCCGACGCAGACTTGGCAGGCGTGGTGACTCCCCATAACAATGCCCTAATCATAACTCTGAAGATAGGCAAGTTCGACGTCAAAAGGGTGTTGGTGGACTCCGGGAGTTTCTCCAAAGCGTTGTACTCGGAGACCTTAAAGCGGATAGACTTTGGCCTCAAGGACCTCACCAAGGTCAGGACGCTCCTCGTCGGATTTAACGGCTCATTTGCCTTACTCATAGACAAAATCACATTGTCAATCATCACGGGTCCCTTCACCATCAATACTGAGTTTGTCGTGATTGATACATACTCTCCCTATAATGTGATCATGGGGTGAGCTTGGTTGCATGCGCTAGGAACGGTGCACTCCGCTTATCATCAGAAATTAAAATTTGCTACACCAGAAGGGATAATATTCGAGGGGATCAAGCGTCTGCGAAAAACTGTTTCTACTTTGCTGCGAGAGTGGGGGTTTCCACCTAAGAAAATGGACGCGTCCCGAAAGAGATCCTAGAAAAATAGGAATCACAGTCCGGACGTCTAGGAGTGGATGACCCCCGAACTGATATGACAGATTGATCGGTAGAAGACCTTCGAAAAATGTTCTTAGCGGATGGTGAAGAGGAGAGATACTTCCTGATTGGAACCGCAATGCCTATAGCCAAACAGGAAGAGATGATCGACTTTTTGAAGTAAAATATAGACGTGTTTGCTTGGAACACAATGGAAATAAAAGGGGTGGACCCCGAAATAATCACGCATAAGCTACATGTTGACCCGACACACAAACCAATAAAGCAGAAGCCACGGTGCCTAGCGACGCACCACGCCCGGGCGGTGAATGAGAAAATCGATAAACTCGTAGAGGCCGATACCATATGGGAGGTGCAATTCCCAGAATGGTTATCTAACACAGTCTGTGCGAAAAAAAAGGGGAGAAATGGCACGTCTGTGTAGACTTCACTGATCTGAACAAAGCATGTCCCAAGGACGACTACCCCCTCCCAAAGGTGGACCAATTGGTGGATGCCACTGTTGGGTACCAGCGTATGGACTTCTTAGATGCCAGAGCAGGACATCATCAAATCCCTCTCTATCCTCCGGATCAAGAAAAGACAACATTTATCACTTCGAGGGGGTTTACTGCTACAAAGTCATGTCATTTGGGCTGAAGAATGCTGGAGCTACGTACTAGAGACTGATGAATCGGGTGTTCAAAAGACGGATCGGCAACACCATGGAAGTTTACATCGATGATATGTTGGTTAAAAGTAGAATAAGTTGTGACCACCTGGTGGATTTGGTCGATACCTTCTCCACCCTCAGGGAGTATGGCTGAAGCTAAACGCCGTAAAGTGTATTTTCGGAGTGGAGTCAGGT